TACACAGCCCTTTTATGAAACTAATTTATAGCTCTCAAATGAAAGCTACAACTTAATTCTAGCCTAAGAATGTGGGGAGGAGGTGGGGAAGGGCAGGGAAGAAGGGCGGCTGGGTGGTGGGAGGGTGACCAGAAAGATCACCTATATATATGTCTAACAAAGATACAAGTGAACTTTTCTAGAACTAGAGTATAAATGTTTTGACACAATGACTAAGCAAATGACATGAAGTCTACGTTAACCAGCTTGATGAAAGTATTTCAAATTGTATATGAAAACACTACACTGTACCCCATGTTTGCATTAATGTATACAGCTATAATTTAATGAAAAAATAAAAAATAAAAGATTATAAAAAAAAAAAAAAAAAGAATGTTAGCTAGTCCCCAAAAGGATATGAAACTTTGCCAGAAGCACCGAAGCTTGGGTGGGCTTAAGAAATCACTCAAGGCTGGAAATGTCCCCAAGGCGGGGGTGACTGCTAACTGGCTTCTCTGGCCTGGAGATTTGGGACAGGCTGTCACTGACTATGTTGGAAAAACACAGGGTTGAGGTTCCTCAGGGCACTGTAGCAGACCTGTAGGGCAGAGCTCACACTCCGGAATCAGGGAGAACAGGCTTCAAATTCCTTCTGTGCTCTTTGCTGATGTGATTCTTGAGGGACTACTTAACTTTACGAATTCTAGTTTTTTCTTCCCCTCTGTAAAACCCATATACCATCACCTCTCCTGTAGACTTGTGAAGAGTAAGAGGTAATATATTTAAAGATATTACGAGCTTCTTAAGTGGAAATCATTATTATGTGTCAGGTTAACCAGCTCGGACATTAACCCGTGCACACAAAGGGAAGAAGAAAATTTGTTGCCTACAGAATCAATATAAAATTAGTCTTTTAGAAAATTCAATCCAATGGCTAAAATCTTCGGAAGAAGCAAACACTAAAACCTGTAGTTTCCTACTTAATCATTATCTATGCAACATGTAGGAAAACTAGGTATCAGCCCAGAATGCCCTGCGCCCGGCAGAATGATAGGGCTGAGCGGAGCCACAGGGGTCCCTGAGCCTCCACCCCACGACGCCCGTGCCTTACATCCCGAGCAGGGAAATATTATGCAAACATTTTCGTGCCCTACAAACCACTTTTGTTCTCTATCCTGCCTAGGACTAAGGCCCTAAGACAGCATTTCTCAACCTTTTTTATCTCACAGCACACTTAAACCTATAGTCTAAGTTCCCTGGCACATTTAAATTATCTGATCAAAAAATAATAATAATTAAAAGATATATACTGACTGTGCTTTGAACTTCATTAAAAATAATTAATCATTAAATTAAATTATTACCAAATTTAATTATTACTAAATTAATTAAGTTAATCATTAAAAGAATTGTTAATTCTTTAGAAATTTTTCAGCACATCTAAGATCCTCTCATGGCACACCGGTTGAAAATCACAGCCTAATCCTTCTGGCTTGTTCTCAAGACTACTATTCTCTCTTCTCAGCTTGGGAGCTGGGCTCCTTTTCCTGTTTATAGCCCATAGGGCATGACTTGCCTGGCTTCCTCTCTTCTTGGACCTGATTTCTTTCTGCTCGCAGTGATGGTGAATTCCCCTTGCCCTGGGCACAGGTCACTGAGGGCCTTCACCTCCCACTTCCCCTCTGCCCCCTGCATGAGACTTAAGCAGGTCAATTCTCCTTTCTGGCCCCACGTCAGTATTCTTTATCCTCTAGACCACATGGTCTCCGAGTTGTGCTCAAAATCACAGTTCAAATGGTGACAACAACAGGATGTATTTAAAAAACAAAAAAACGACTATACTGTCTGAAGTCATCAGGGACATTTCCCGAACACACGATGGCCTAATATGATTTTGCAAGCATTGAACAGCTGCAAACTTGTGATCGGAATTTGCTAAGAGAATCACAACACACAATAAAAGAAAAAACAGTCTTTGTTTTCTTGATGTGAATGTCAAGTTACATGAAACAACAAACCACTTAAGAACATCTGGTCAATCATAAGTATTATTCAATTTAAGCAATTCAAAACGTTTGCATGCCAAGTTACTCATTAAGCAAGACTGAAGCTGTGCTGAGGTTTGTGCATTGTCACGGGAGGGTACAGATAAGGACAACAAGGAAGAGTGAGCTGTCCATGAAGAAGACAGCCCAGGAAAAGAAGGTCAGATGCACCGTCCAGCCCCGGATCTGGGGGACCCTCTTCTTTCTACCTTTACTCCTGCAGGGGAGGGGAGGGGAGGGGAGGGCAAGGGAGAGGAGGGCAGGGAAGGGAGGAAGTTGCAGGAAGCCATCACACACCTCTTCCTCTCTGACCTCCTCCAGCAAGGCCCTGCCTTCCTGTGGTCATCTGGGTCATACTGTTTCTTCTCCATTCTAAGCCCCTTCCCCTCCCTCATGATTTCTCCAAATCCTACCAGCCCTCCACACCCAGCTTCAGCCTCTGTGCTCCATGGAGTCTCCCCTGTATGTCACCCTCAGTGGCTCTCCAGGTGTGTCCCCTGGAACAGAAGCAACTCCCCCTGAGCCCCTGCTGGTATGTGTCACAACGTCTTGGCCTCCAACCCAGATCTCCTAGATCAGACACTCTGGCAAGGGGTTCGGAAGATACACGAGCCTTTCGGGGGATTCTGATTCACAATGAAGCTTAAGAATCACTGGTTTGTACCCTTCCACTTGTGAACGCTGCCACCCAGGTCCATGTGACTTCAAAGTCTGTGTGGGCTCCATTCCACTGAACACACAACCACTCAGCAATACTGAAACTCAGAAACCTGTGTCTGCAGGCCCTGGGCCAGACTCTGCAGATGCACCTTCATTTCTTCTGGGTAAGTTGGCTTCTGACGTCTACCATATGGGTTAGTTTGTCCCCAACTTGGCAACTCGCTATACAAGTGTAAATGCTGTGTGTCCTAACCTCTGTACAGTGCTGGTCACAAACGTGTGTGTGTGTATATGTATATTATAATTATATATGTATATATAATGTGCATATATATGTACATATGTATGTGTGTATATGCATGTATACATACATA